AACAGTGGAAGGATCAATGGATAAAATCGCATCACTGTCGAAGAGTGACAAAGTTATTCGTCCATCTCTGTAAATAGTCGTGTGTACCGTTTGATGCGTTTCAGGTGTTCAGCAAGCTTAACCATCGATGAACTACTCCAGCTTTACACATGGTCGTGTTATCGACAAACCGGTGTTAAAATTACCAGTTGGCCAAATCCGCGACCGGTTGTTTGATATATTGTACCGACGGCCAGTACATTATGTACATTTCAGTTCACAAGTATCCGGACACTTCAGTCGATTTGCAGTGATAGTACAGTAACTCGCAGCAGTATTTCTGCTCCTCTAATTTTCAACTTTGAACGATTGATATTTTACGGTAAAATATTTATTAATATCTTGTAGCCTATCGTATTCTTATTAATATATTGTATCTTACGATAAAAATTTTCAAATTTCTTTCCAATGATGATGTATATCGAAACATACATTAAATATTAATTACCATTTTTATTGACACGAATTTCGAAGCTTGTAATTGTAAAGGGATATGTATTGTTCAAAGTTGGCAATTGTTGGGGATTGGGGAAAATATTTCTATGATTTGTATCTTTTATATAATGGTGAATTTTACCAAAATATTTAAATTAATGATGAATATAATAATATAATACAATGAATTAATTTTAGCAATATAATAATATTTTACTAGTAATATAATAATATTATATTAATAATAGATGTAGTGTAATAAATTGACTTCTATAAATCTACTAATATCACTGATTCGTGAACATAGGTTTTTTAAAAGACAATCAAATCATAATAGGAATATTGCACCGAAAAAATACGATGAGATAAATTTTGTTGATTTTCTTACTTTCATGATTAAAAAGAATATTTTAATATAAAATTGTTAAAAGAAAGAGAGTAATTACAAGATATAAATCTTAAAAATAAGTAATAAATCCACGATACCACTTTTTAAAAAATGAATTATATTCAGTCGTATTTGTCAGTCAGTTTAATTTCATCAATATTAATCTATATAATTTTATTAATGCGTTTTAAATATCTTGAGGAAGATTGTATATTTGATTTCAAAGTCAAATAAAAAGATAATTTTAACATATTGAATTTTAAAATTACTCTTCTACAGATAATGGAAAATATGACTTGTCATTTTCTTCATTTATAATCTTCACGCATGGTAATTATAATTCTATAATTTACATAAACCTGTCAAAAGTTATCAAGTACATTACTAAATGCGTATCTGGATATATTTAGTAATGTACATTCTATTAATTTTTAATCTTGTTATTAGCACGTTCTGTAAAAGATAATGGTCGATTAAGATTTGTGATACAGATATCTTTTAAATGCAATTTTTGAAAGTTGATAGATAAAAATGTCTCAGAACATTAATTTGAGATATTTATATATATTTTGGCACATTTTATTGATCGTAGAATTTTTATTTTTCTTATTATCAATATTTTTTGCAATATTTCAATAATGATAATACTTATAGATTTATATATAATAATAATTAATAATTACTAATAATTAATAACTACTGATAGTCTACAGAGTTAGTTTGTAAACTTATTTATTAAATTTTGCAATTTTATGTCAATAAGGTTAATTAAGTTGACTTATTTCATTTGGTTGATTGTCAAGATTGTTGTTAAAATGTGGGAAAATTTATTACCAGTGATAATTTATAAGTTTTAAAGTTTCGCTGATAATGTTGGTTTCAACTGTGAAAGATTACTCTGATCAAGATGCAATGGTAGAAACTCTAATATGTATTTGTTACGTAGCACATATACTTTCAAACAAGAACTATGCAATTATTCAATTTTCCCCCGTTTGATTCGCGTAGCTTGTGTAACATCTACATTAAAATTTTTTGCCTGCCACCATTGCGTTTAAAGTTTACATTCCTATGATGTCAGAATGATGTCATTCTTCTGTAGATACTCGATATTTGTAGATTGAAGAACTCTGCCATACGTATGCATACGACAGATTATTAATAATTTACAATCATGTTTATTTTTAACTGCACGACAAAAAAAAGAAAAATACAAATTCATTAAACATGCATAATATCGCGTGTGTAGTTCACACATGCTCGTATTTCTTGCATTCTTGTGTCTATGTCAAAACGATAGAGACATTTCCCGAATAGGTTAGGTTAAAAAGTCGGCCAATTGAACGACTGTCCACGTGAATACACTGATTTCGATCATTTTCACTAATTTCGGGTTATCTTTGATTTCTGTGTATACGCACACGCGTATAACATTGCCTCCAAAGATCATGTGAGTTTTTATCGCGTTTCAATGTAACGTGTGATATAAAATCGATTTCAACATCACGCACGGCGTTACGAATGACGAGAAGATACTATCGCGAGCGAAACAGTAATCACATAATTTAATACGTTCTCCTCGATAAGCGTTCCTATCTTATCGTATCTCTTTTCTTTACCCCGTGATATCATTTTTTACACGAGGGAATTAATTTTCCCGCGTACAGCTATTGCACAAAGCACGGTGTACGTGCGAGATTTGCACTATCGGTACGATCAATAAAATTTATACGTGGTTACCGATCGGTAAGAAAGAGAGTTCAACGACATGGATTTATCAACGACGAGCGTTTATAGAGCATAATCTAAAGTTCCATTATGTGCGTGGCACGTTGCTGTAACGACAGCAACGCTGTCAATAACCAAACTATGTATCTATTTTGGATGCCAAGCCTCCTGCGACCGTTATCGCGTATCCCCTTATCGCGACAGAAAACCCGATAAAATGGCACGCCGCTACGCGTATCACTGTGAGCGGCCATTGTTTATACCGTTCGGCTTAAGCAATTTCACTTAAGTGCATCTCAAGATTGCAATTCATAAGCTTTCCCCGTCGAATCAGAGTTGAGTTGATCAACAGGGAACAGCAATTACGATAAAGAAGATTAAATTGATGAAACGACGGCGTTAAGATTGCCACGGAAGAAGAAAGAGAGAAAAAAAAAAGAGAATCAAGTTTCTATGATATCTCTCTATAATTGCTCTCGAGCGGAATTTTTTTTGAATTCTCCGTTTGTTATGTAAAAGATTAAAGCGTAGAGCAAAATTGAAAAATTATCGTTTTAATAGGTTTGCAGATTAGTCTGTGAAACGCGATACAGAAATTGATGCTAAAAAGTAACGCAACGTGAAAACTATAATATATATTAATTATATATAAATTATATATAAATTAAATATAAATACGACATACAATATGAAAGAAAAGAAAAACTGCGATATACGAAATTGTATCGATATATAATTCAAAAGGAAATCAAAATAAGATTGATACAATTGTGTCTGTAAACATAAATATCATCGAGAATAAAACTCCAATTATTACGCAATAGTATAACGTTAATTATGTTACAAATATGTAGCCAAATGCTCAGAACTGTGATACACACTAGAGTAGCCACGAGATAGTAAATAGCATTTAACGTACGTGTTTGTACGTGTTATACTGTCTCAGTTAACTAATTACATCGGGGCACAATTAGAGCGTAATCCAGTTCATATTTTGTTAATTAAACCAACAAAGACGAGATACAGTTGTGTATTCCCTGCCAAGCGCTATGTTAACCCGTGAAGCGAACTAAAAATCGAGATATCCCTCGAGCATGTAGATTAGAATGGGTGGAGCCCTTTTCAATTTTTCTACGTGCATGCACGTACATACGTACATACGCGCTATATACCATTGAACGCGTCGCAAGATTCTACCCGATCGAAAGTTCTGCATATCAGAAACAAAACGTATCCTCTGTTGACGAGGATACCCAGTCGGCTGAGTAATCCTCAGTTTCAATCCACCGATAAATTATAAGATCCTATCCATATTCAGTAAAATCGAAGAGTAGTTCGTTAACAGCATTTTCTCGAGTGTAAAGTGGACCTCTCGTTGCCGAAGAGTGGGCACGGAGCGCGAGTGCGCGCGCGTGTTATCGTTATCTTTTTTTCTTCTTCTTCTCTCTCCCTCGCGTCTGTTCGCGCTCGAGTCCCGGTCGCTGACTACGTGTCCCCTTAGGGCAGGCGGCGATGCGCATGCGCAGCTCCGCGATTATGACGTCATGCACCATGACGCCACAACGCCCGATTGGCGGAGCGCGTCGTAGCCGTCGTTGTGTCGTCGTCGTCGCGTTGTCGAGTAGCGGCGGGCGGAGGGGCGAGGCGAGGCCGTCGAGCAGCACGAAAGGGAGGGGGGAAAGGTAGGGACCGGTGAGAGGGAAGAGAGCGACACCCGTAGCTCCGCTTTACCGCCGCATTCTCGAGCGTTCGTCTTCGTTCGTCTCCTCGTACGGCAACCAGCAGGCGAGCGAGTGCACACGTCGTGTCGCGCGCATACCATTATTTCGTGTCTCGTGTTCAACCTAGAATACACAGGTCTCTCTCCTTGTAACACGTATATCGAGGGGCGAGTCGCGTACCATTC